GAATATTTATACAGGGCTGACAAAAAAATTATGGCTACATTAATGAACCAATGTTATAGTAGGTGGCGCCACCTAATGTCAATGGTAAAACTAATATCATTTTCATATTAAGCATACTAACTAATAGCAAGATACTAAATTTCACTTAAATCGGTTGAAAATAGTTTTCAATATATCTCTAAAAATAATATAAAAAAATATTAATGAATCACCCTGTAGAACGAAAACTGGCAACATTTTGCCTAAGGAATTTGAGCTCAAACGCTTTATTTTGATGTCAGCTGTCACCCATTAGCTAATGTCCAATTAATTATGGGACACCCGGTATAATAGTTGGTTTTTTTCTGTTTTTCTGTCACGCAACACACAACTTTTTCTATTATACGAATCATTTACATCACTTGTTATAAACATTCTATATCATTTTCCTCTTTTAGAATCCAACTCTAGTGACAATAAATATTAGGTTTAGCACTGAATCAGGATGTAGTCACACCTTCATTTAAAATTTATCAATTTGTTTACATTAATTTGCAAAATCAATGAATAACATATGGACATTATTTTATTCTAACCATATTTTCTATTAACTGACTTATAAAGAAAATTGTATTTGTCTTGATCTACTTTGTTAAATCCAAACTCATTTTTAAATATTTTTTTGATATATCGTTAATCATCTTATCCAGCATATTTTTATGTGGTCGATAAGTAGTTTTATGGTCTTAAAATTTGTATATTGTTGAACATCTTTTTGGTTCTGCAGACAGGCAACAAGATTCAACTCCATTTATCTGGCATTTGACTCACTTCCGTAATGATATTAAACGTGTTAGTCAACTTTTCAATCTTCATTTTAACACTGATGTGATTTTACAAAATAAAGTTTTTACCTACCTTTAAAAAATCACTCAATCACTACTGATTACATTTTTATTAATTTGCTCTTAGACTTCATAAGCTTTTATATTTATTCTAATTTTCTTTTTTCTTTGCCAAATTTATGTCCATGTTCAAATGGTTATATTAGATAAATAAGTTTCTATGATCTTCTGATGAAATTAGTTGAAAACCGTAATAAATTAATCAGTAATTGCTAACCTATTGATATTTTCATATATTGTTATCAAAATATATACACAGGTTATCATTTCAACATATGCTCCAAATTGTTGTTTTTTGTTTATAAATTTTGATAAAAATTACGAAAAATGGCGGTTTCCTGATAACTGATGCTATATTTGAACTTAGTTTAAAATTATGGTAACACGGTGATTGAAAATCATGAAAAGATATTTTTTAGTTGTTTTACTTATTTTTTCTTACTAAACTATTTTTCCATATTTTTATACAATTTTTGTTTTTTTTTTCTTGTTGTTTCGACTAATTTTCTTTTCATATCAATAAGAGAGAACACGTTTAATTTCTTTTTTGCTAATTTTGGTAACTCTAATTGAGAGGTGAAAGTGTCGACAGTAACCAACTGAAAACCTCATTTATTATCTCAACATTTTTTAAATATTAAGTGTTCTTCTTCTTCCTTCTAGTATGTAGGCTTTAAAGCCTGTTTCTTTTTCAATATTAGCCTCCTAAATTGTTTAAATTGTCGCACCATCTTTTTCTTGGTCTGCCAATACTTCTTCGTCCATTTGGGGACTTATCTTGTGCTATTCGTACTATTGTATCCTCTGCCATTCTACTGATGTGTTCGTTCCACTCCTGTTTTCGTTTTGTCACTCATCCATTTATGTCTTCTATATTGCATGCTCTTCTTATATTTTCGCTTCTCTCCGTGGTATTGGCAGGTATTTTGTTTTTTCTGTATTAATTTCTAGTCCCCACTTTCTATATTCTTCTTGTAATTTTCTTGCCATGTACTCCAGATCATTTTTATCGTTTGCTATAACAACCTGGCCATTAGAGGCCAAGAGTTTCCACTCTTTCAATACTTTTGCAACATATATTTTAAGCAAGGTCGGTGATACACAACACCCCTGACGTAGACCTTTATTAACCAGGAAGCTTTGTGATAGTCTGTTTCTAGTTTTTATTTGTGATGTTGGTCAACCTTTACGTACTGCTTGTATTATTTCCTCCATTATTATATTAAAGAGAAGTGGGCTTAACGGGTCACCCTGTCTATCTCCGCTTTGTACTGGTATACACTGTGTTAGTTTTCCTGGTTTGTATGCATCTTGATCTTAGGCTGTCCGTAAATATGCCTGCTAAGATTTTCCGGGTTGTACGCTATCTATTCCAGCTGCTTTACCGCTTTTCATTTTTGTAATTGGCGATTCTACTTCTTTTGGAAGGACTTCTGATACATCTTCTTTGTTTACTGATTGCTTCTTCAAGTGTTTCAGGGGCTTTGTATAGTTTGCTGTAGAATTAAGTCACGAGTAGTATTATTTCATTTTTGTCTGTAATTCTAGTGTTTTAGTTTGTTAGAGCAATGATTTGCTTCTTCCCAATGTTTAATGCTTTTCTTATTTTCTTATAGTTTTTTTTGTATTTTCGATTGCACTTTCATTGTATTTTCTAATGTCCTAATACTTTGCTTTATTGTCTTACGAAATTCTGTGTATTGTATTCTCAGTATGTTGCTACTTACTTTCATTTCCTTCTTTGTTTTAGCATTATTTTGGTTTTATTTGATAGTTAAATATGTTCATTTTGTTGTTGCGGACCTTTGGTAGTAGTCTGAGTTTTCTTTTGATGTTTCTGTCATGTTTGAATGCTTCAGTTATGTTACTATAGAGTTCCTATATTTCTTCGTCAGTGGGAGTAACCGTTGGGGCATATATTTGTATATTGTATCCCTTTGATAGTTGTAAGTTTAAGCTAGCTACTATATCTGAGATACTAGTTATTTCTCCTACTCTTCGTTTCCAGTTCTTGTTGATTAGGAATCCAATACCGCCTGTTCTGCCTGTTGATGTCCCTCAGTAGTAGAATGTGTTTCCTGATGCTAATTCCAATATCTCTTCATCTTTCCGTCTTACTTCGTTGATTCCTACGACGTCCCATTTTATATTATTAGTTTCTTTTTCCGGTTCTACATGTCTGGATTGAATTGAAATTGAAAATTTGGGCATTTAGCTCGGTAAAGACTGAATTGTTTACATCTGTGACACGTGATGTATTGCTTGCTATTTATCACGTTTGCTTGATTTATATTCCTGTTTTTCTGGCAATTTGACTTACTGGTGAACGCAGTGAAGCCGCTACCATTACTTCAGGAGTTCCATGTTCCATATCAAAAAGTTTGAGTTTAATGGCCTCTGTTCTAATAGGAATACCTGAATTTCTCGGGCACACTGGCTAACAATGACCCAGTACACTCATAATCTAATCTATATTGAACCCGGTACCTTTTAATTTCTGTGCATTGTTGACTGTTTAACATATTCATTTATAGGATTGCAATCTTCTAGGTCGGTTGAAATTGGTAATCAGAATAGACCGATTTTTATTGTGAATCATCAAAAACAACTTTTCACTTTGACCAAACCTCTAGGACAGTCTTTGCCTCTTTAACGTGTAGATATAGCGATGAATCTATCATTAATCTAATTTTGGCTCTTGTTTTGACGTCACTATATGTGACTAATTTAGTGATGTATTTAGATGGTCCTTCGAGCAGTAACAAAATTTTCCATCACGAATGCCCAATCACAATATATACAATTTGAACGCATTTCTATTATTTTATTATTCACTACTTTGCACAACTGTGTTTTCCCATTACTGAGGATCGTGATTGCTTCCAATATTTCTTTTTTTTTTTTCATTGGTCTCTATCTTCAGCTGCTCTGAGAGCTTCGCAGAATGAGTTTCCAGTTGAATTCTTGGTCGGACTATCTAGTTGGTGGTCGTCCTCTTGATCTTCTCCCCGGAACGTTTCCAGAAACAATTAATCTGTCCCAAACTATCGTCACCTCTACGAACTACGTGACCGAAAAAATTGCAGAATACGTTGCAGACATATTGACGGCAGCCTTTTTTAAATCTAGAGTTGGTTTAGAATTTAAAAGTTTGTCCTATAAGCTGTCCAAGGTATGCGCAGCATTCTTCTTCAGCACCACATCTCAAAGGCTCATTTTTGGCGTTCGCGTCCGCGAAAAGTCCAAGTCTCTGTCCTTACACTTACACTGAGTAACTGCTATAACATATTTTGATATATAAAAACAATACTCTTACTTTAGTTTTAAATAAGTTTTGATGGAAAGTGTTCGGAATTTTAACTTACACATCCTTCTTCTTCTTCTTAACATGCCATACACCAAAGTGCGTATCCTTAACCAGGATAATTGTTTGCGACCGGGTCCTCTCCTACCTTCGATCTTCCCTTGTAGGATTAACTGTGGTATTTCATATTTTTCTTCTCTCAATATGTGCCCAAGGTAACCAATCTTGCGTTTTTTTAATTAATTCAGAGTTCTCTTTCCCCGCCGGCTCTCTTAAGGACGTCATCGTTTCGAACTCTATCCACCCAAGGTATGCGCATCATTTTTCTCAATGGCCACATTTCAAATGCTTCAAGTTTGTTGATAGATGTTTTTTTCAAAGTCCACGTTTCCATGCCATAAAGCAAGATGGACCATATGTAGCACTTGACCATTCTGTAGCGTATTTCGAAATTTAGGTTTTGATTACATCGGAGCGGTCTGAATTTCACAAAAGCTTGTCTTACCATTTGTATTCGGGTTTTTATCTCGTGTTGTGGATCCGATTGGTCATAGATTGTGGTGCCAAGGCATTTAAAAGTTTTCACGCGTTTTATACGATCGTCACCTATCACATCCTATCGAAGGTAAATATTTGTAAAAATAAAATAGCTACTGTGAGCGGCTAGAGACAATCAGTTTTTTCCATTTTAAAATATCGTTAAATCACTTCTTATGATTTTTTAATTAAAATTATTTTCTGCTGTTACTAAAAGTTAATTTTAAATGTAGTTACCAGAGATTGTAAATTGCTAACTATTTTTTTGTTTTTAGGAATCAACGGATCAATTACCAAACCCACATTATATGGAATAATTTTTGTAGCTATTGCTATTGTTGTTGTTTTTATTTGCTTCTTAATAGCTTATCGTCGCAAATCGACTGAAAGTAACAGAGTATTAAAGAATATGCAGGAGCAAATGGATATTCTAGAGCTCAGAGTAGCAGCTGAGTGTAAGGAAGCTTTTGCAGAACTGCAAACCGAAATGACTGATCTTACCGGAGATTTAACTTCCGGTGGTATACCATTCCTAGATTACAGAACATACGCAATGAAAATCTTGTTTCCAAACGTCGATGATCACGTAGTACTGCAGTGGGAGCGTCCAGAGCTATTGTGCAAAGAAAAAGGATTAAGACTCTTTGGACAACTTATAATGAACAAAACATTTCTGTTATTGTTCATCCGAACTTTAGAAAGTAACAGATATTTTTCAATGCGAGACAGAGTGAACGTAGCTAGTCTAATTATGGTTACTCTACAAAGCAAGATGGAATATTGTACGGATATTCTCAAAACTCTTTTGGCCGAGCTAATAGAGAAATGCATGGAGGGAAAAAGTCATCCTAAGTTGCTGTTGCGCAGAACTGAAAGTGTTGCTGAGAAGATGCTTAGTGCTTGGTTTACGTTCCTTCTGTATAAGTTCTTGAGAGAGTGCGCCGGAGAGCCTTTATTCATGTTGTTTAGAGCTGTTAAGCAGCAGGTTGACAAAGGACCAGTAGATGCCATTACTTCAGAAGCTCGATATTCGCTTAGCGAAGAGAAACTAATAAGACAATCAATAGATTTTAAGCCAATGGTGAGTGTCACTTATAAATTAATATTTCTTAATTCTTAATCAAATATTTTTCTTTTAGACCGTCTATGTCTCCATTTCTCAACAGACTGTTTTCGTTGGGGGCATGGATCATAATACAGACAATGTTCCTGTAAAAGTTTTAGACTGTGATACAATTAGTCAAGTTAAAGAGAAATCACTGGACACAATTTACAGAGCTACACCTTATTCGCAGAGACCAAGAAAAGACGACTTAGATCTAGGTAAATATATCTTTGCTATTGCTGTGGTGCTACGGTCCCTGTACTATCTAACCTTGATTGACATCCAATCCGGAAATCTTTTAAAAAAAAATCATCAAATAATTATAAAAATTTGATAAAACCTGTAAGATATTGTTTTTGTCAATTGGCGATAGATCAATTGTTGACAGTTCATAAAATTATTGGCGTCGATCTTGGAGACATCAGCCATATACTACATTTCTAAAGCCAAAAGTTTTAAATGGTATTGTTATGCCTTAGATTGATATTTTTGTGCTTATTGCTATTTATGTTATTGTTAATTATAAATTGCGTCCTTCACATGCTATTAACTCATTATTACTGATATTTATTGCTTGATTGATTGATTGAAAAATTATTTGAATGATTCTTTTGCTCTCTCCATACCCCTCCACTGCAAATCTGAAAGCTTTTTCCTTAAATACTTAACAAAGACATAACATACATTGTGAGGAGCCCAACCTTTGTCTTGGTCACCAATTTTTACACCAAAATATGCAAAATTCACTTTTTTTACAAAGTTAGTAATGTTTCTCTAATGTTTTTTAATAACAAAATCACCACATATGTAATAAAATGTATTTGGACAGTCAAACACTGAAAAGTGAGGTTATGTTTATTAGAATAAAGGAACTATACAGCTGTTAATGAAGAGGAAGAAGAACAAAGAGTTTTCCGTTGACGGAATATTATTATCTGCAAGGTTTAAATATCGTGAAATTGCAATAAAACGATCCCTTCTCATAGAATTGTAAATAACTTCATTGCTCAGATTCCCTTGTGAGTCCCAATAGTTTCTCTTTGAGGGTACTGTATCGTAACCAGACACATTTAGTATGGCTAAGAAAACTTGAATGTCTTCAGGGATCACATTGAAATCTGAACAATTTTTTGAAGCAGCATACTTATTACTTTCTTCACAAAAAATCACAAAACGTGGTCATCTATTATCAAGCGAAATATATCATATGAACTTAAATTTTTGTATTTTGTATAAGAGGAAAAAGGAAAATCGAACAAGGGTGGTACTGTATCTATCACCTGGTATCCATTCAGTCTCTAGATAAGCTTCCTTGGCAGATTTTTTGATATAATTCTCTATAGTTTCAGCTACTTCCTGAGCCGAGTCATTTATTTGCTGTTCATCCCCCTAATATTCTAACTGATCCTGATTCTCATTGTATGAATTCATCACAACCTCTGCACCTGCACGTAATTGTCTACCGTTTAGGTTATCAACTAGTCCTCCTTACTCATCACCAGAGTCCTCGTCAATTAGTATATTTGGATTTGGAGGCTCTAAAAATATTTCATTTAAATCTTGATCCTCGTCGTTTTCAACCATAGCTAATGCTTCTTCCAAAGTAATACCACGAAAACAATAAAAATAGGTTTATTGCCACTAAAACAATAAACATAGGTTGATATTATAAGATTGCCAGACAAAAAAAATATATTACCCACTGCCCACATTCACGCCTAGCGTGTTCATATGATCACATACCTGTAGAATAACAACTTACACAAATCGGATGTACGGATTTGTCATTTTTCAAACTGCTAACCAGCAAATTCACCACTACAAATAATACTTCTGAAAACAATTCAATGCACCTTGCACTGTTTATTACTTTAAACTAAGGCATGACGAACGCAGTGGGCTTGAGCCAAGGTTAAAATTATCACAGTGTTGCCAAAAACAGTAAATCTTGAGTCTTGTTATGTGTGATCATGTGATCACGCTAAGCGCTATGGGTTAATCTTAGTGCAAGCAAGTTCTGATTACTTCTGTAACTTTCGAATGCAATTTTTTGGCTACTGCTATACAAAAACTATCAAACTAAGTTGTTACTGGAAAGAAAATTAAAAGCCTTTTTAAATAATGTCCTAGTTGACCCCCTTCCCATTTAAAATTGTAAGGGTAACATTTTTCCTTGCTTCCTTCCGATTTTTTATATTATTCGCAGAAATAAAGATATTAACGAGGGTAAGTTTTCAAATTGTCACCCTATAGATTGAAAAACAAAGGGAAAAGGTAGACTTACATATACATTCACTAATTAAGAACATAACGAAACAAACAATTTGATATAATGGTGACAAATGTAAAAAATGTATAACTTTTTGTACTGTTCAAATTTTCTTAATTTTAAATGTATATTTTAGGAGTAAGATACAAATGATGGTTTTACTAAAATATTTTATTTATTGATTTATTGTAGAATGGAGAACAGGCACTTCGGGTAGACTGATTCTGTATGACGAAGATAGCACTACTAAAGTAGAAGGGGACTGGAAGAGAAGAAACACATTACAGCATTACAGAGTACCTGATGGCGGATGTCTAAATTTGGTATCCAAACAAAGTTCCATTTATAATTTAAGTATTTTTTCTGAGAAGAATGATAAGTCTCATAAATATGAAACTTTGAATCTCAGTAAGTTTAGTTCAGTAAGCCCTCCACTCAGTCGAGCAACTAGTCCACTTAATCATGACCATGAGCAAGGGCTGAAAGTGTGGCATCTTGTGAAGCACCACGATAATGATAATCAAAAAGAGGGAGAACGAGGAAATAAAATGGTGTCTGAAATTTATTTAACAAGACTTTTAGCTACCAAAGGTATGTTATTCATCGATATACATGTTTTACAGTGTCCTTTAAAAATGACTCTCTTCATTTTAACTTTAGATTTCATGAAACACAGGACAATCATTTTATACCAATAAATAGTTACCATTTAGAAATTTGAAAACGATATATTTGTTTTAGGTACTCTACAAAAATTCGTGGATGATTTGTTTGAAACGATTTTCAGCACTGCTCATAGAGGATCAGCGTTACCACTTGCTATAAAATACATGTTCGATTTCTTGGATGATCAAGCCCTTCAGCATGGTATTTCAGATCCTGAAGTTGTTCATACGTGGAAAAGCAATTCCCTTCCTCTTAGATTTTGGGTAAATCTTATCAAAAATCCCAATTTCGTATTTGATATACATAAGTCAAATATAGTAGATTCTTGTTTATCTGTGGTTGCTCAAACTTTTATGGATTCGTGTTCTACATCTGACCATAGATTAGGTAATGTTTTTAATGCAAATATGAAATATATGTCTTTTCACTGAGAATCTTAAATTTTAGGAAAAGATTCGCCCAGTTCAAAACTTTTGTATGCTAAAGACATTCCATCTTACAAAGATTGGGTGGAAAGATATTATTCTGATATTAAAATGATGCCAGCTATATCCGATCAAGACATGAATGCAATGTTGGCTGAAGATTCTAGGGTAAGTTAAACATTTTTCTCTCTCTAAAATGTTGCAACTCTTTTATTTGCCAATAAATCAAATAACTTTTTGACAAAATTAAATCTTTTTAAGTATGACAAACGGTTATATTACAGGTTTTATTCGGGCAACCTGTGAACCTATATATTTTTTGAAAATGGTACTATATTTTTCAAATAAACTATGTAATTTTAATTGCATATTTAAATCTAGATAGAAGATTTCATTTTGTAAATTTAACCCTAATTGTCTAATACACTCCCTCCCTAGAAGTGGATGTATAAAGTCGATCCGCCGGATCTTTGCACATCGTCATCATTCTTATTATAGGAAATAAATCAAAACATGTGAGTCAAACGTATGTCGGCTATAAGAATTATTATAAAAATTAGAAAATGGCTAATATTACAATTGACGTTTTTATACTTCTCTTTTATTTCATTTATTGCATTTTAAAAACTGGGTACGTATACATTTATGAACGTGATTTTCCAAGTTGTCCAATAACATCTACAGTAAATAAATATTTAAACCATAGTAATCAGAAAGTAATGCATTTTTATTGAATATAAGCATAATATTTCATATTGCCCGTTTGCACGGAGTTTTAGCTATATTTAAATAATTAATGTCAATTTAGAGGTTAAAAAAAATATATTATTCGTTATTAGCTAATACATGAATTTTTACCTTAATAAATTGAACATGAAGGTAAGGGTTAGTCGTTACAACAACTGTTTGTTCAAAAATATGTATATTTAAAGTATGAAAAAGGATTGATTATTTAAATCAAACGAAAATAATTTATAAAAATATTACAAACTCTGTCAAAACAAAATTTCCAATTGACATGTCAATTGTCAGTAGACGAATCAATCAGAGATCATTGTTCTATGGCTGTCTTTGTTTAATGTATGGTGTTGTGTATGGACAGGCGGCTTAAGTTAATAGTTTTAGTTTCTGTGAGTAGGAAAGAGACGTAACATAAAAAATGATTCGTGAATAATGTCATACTTGTGCAAAGATCCGGAGGACCGACTGTATTTGACTTTTCTGTACTTAACCTGTATCTCTACCATTCCTAAAATATTTAGTGGCTGACCTTCATATGAAATTAATTTTCAATTTGTATTGTATAATTGGACCCCTTTATGCAACAAGGAACCAACTGACATGAGCTTAGTTTTGAGAAAATCAAGAAAAATGTTTTATTTCATTTATTATAACTTATGAATATTAATGCTATAATCAAATTAACAACTAAAAAATTAACTCCTAAGTAAGAAAAAAAGCACGTGGTTCTTTGTTGTTAAATATAACATTAACAATCTGCATCTATTTCGAAAACTGGAGTTCCGTTAAATCAGAGTATTAATCAGAGAACTACGAACGCAGAGAAGCGACACTCCTTTGATCTTGCGTGGGCAAGCCGCCAATGAGTGAAAATGACAGGAAAGCAACCAGCTAACTAATAGTCAGTGGGCACACAATATAAATTCTTAAATAAAATTGAGCATTTATGTTGACTTTCAATAAATATGAAATATCAATTGTGTTTATCGTATTATATTGAAATTTGAAAGGTACTGCGTCATGCACCAATGTTTTTCTTTTATTTTTTTTGACAATAAGATTATCTTCAAAATGTAGTTCACAAATCCTATAACTATTATAAAGTATATCCATTTTTAACAATAAATCTTCTCGTCTGCAAGCTTCTATCCACATTTTGGCACTACAAATTTTTAACAGAACAAATTTTAAACAAAGAACTTTTTATATTTATAAATAATACTTCATTACTTACAACTATAAGAGTATTAGTATATTCTAAGTATATTGTAAGTAATGAAGTATTTAACTTTTGTCAATATCTCATCTTATTAAATTTACAGTTTTCTCCTGATTAAGTCACAAAATTGTCACTAAATATTGAGATATACAACAAATAAAGTTTTAATATTTTTTATTTGTAATTCCCATTTAAATATTTATTCCCTAAATATGTTGTGTACTCCGATCCATATATTTGATCTTTGTTATTTATATTTAATGAATTAAACATTGACAGACAATTTTGTATATAGCAAAAAGTAGATGAGTATTTAGTTTTTTCATAATTTAATGTAAGTTTGTTTATTTGCAACTATGTTTTTATTTTGAAGTCTTGTTCTGTTGTAATTTTAAGATTTTCCCAATTATCGGTCTAATTATGTTTCCAACAATTTTTAGTTTGAGCATTTTAGGAATTTCTTTGTTTCGTTTAAATAAAATATTTTCGTGTATAAAACCCTCTATATATTTTTATTTCCTAAAAATACTATATTCGTATTGTTGTCTGCGAGCGCTTTCACACCAGTAGGCCAACATCTGTTGATTTTTTGACCTGAGCCTTCGGAGACAATAAATTTAATGTTTTTATTTTGAACTATCCCTTGGCAGACCAAAGTTTATTTTTTTATTGCTCCACTTGTCCATTTAACGAAAGCTCGTGGGGACACGTCGGCGTCGGCTTACTGATCGAAAGTCAAATTAATACTAGTATGTAATAACTAATAATAATTACAAAGCAATAGTAATTACCTGTTATTATTCTTAGGAAATATAAATAAACTTATTCCTTTTCCTGTCACAGATGAACATCCGCGAAACGCACAACAATAACCAGAAGACATTTTAAATACTTATAAATTAAACTTTGAACTATAAACTTATATATTTAACTTATATATTTTAACTATAACTATAAACTTTTAACTACTAAGTAAATTAGATAAATGGTCAAATGCACTTGTATATTCGAGTATTTACAACAGGTGCCTACGGACTATCGTAACCAACCAGAGTTGAAGAAAACGCACGTGTTTTTGACAGTAAAGCAACCAGGTTCAGGCATGCGTATACAGAAACGGTACACGGATTTCGGGGCTCGCGTCTCTTCTCTGTGTTCGTAGTTCTCTGGTATTATCTGCTATAAGATTTGTCTAAGGTTATTAAGTGAAGATAACTTTGTATATCTTTAAGTTTTGCTTCCGAAACTGACTTTCCTTTTCTCTTTCTGTTCCCTTTTGTATGCTTACTTCTGTATAATCGTCAGTGTCTTGATAAGTCGTTTTAAAAAATATGTTATAAGGCTTATCTTTACACAATTAAATTTTTTTGGTTTGTACCCAACTTATTGTCTCATTGGTTTTACTTTTTTTCTGTTGGTGATTTGTTTTTCTAATTTTGCGGTACTCAAAAAATGTTCTTGTGTCATAATATTTACATTAATGGGTTGTTTTTGTCTACAAGTTTTCATTATATTGCTATATTCCCCAGATGAAAATATATTATGTTGCCTTTTAAGTGCACATTCCACATCTCCAAAATCACTATCATTTGGAAGAAACCTATGACCTGGAACTAAAAATCTCAACCTGATAGTCTTTAAATTCTGTGATTCCTCTAGAAGACATTTTAACAAAAGTACTATTTTAATGTTCCTGTTTTGACCCCCGCAAGAGTCGTTTCACAGAATAATGTACTCAAATTTATCGCTAACATTACTGAAAATCTATTTTCTTAGACAAGACCCCACTTCTTGAGCTCCACGACCTGCCTGTCCTTCGAGCCATAAATGAAAGTGGATTTTGTTTGCTTACCTGCATAGATTCCGTAATTATATACCCATAACTGTCGTTTATCAAATATAACATTTGAAGATATGTGTCGGCGGCGTTTTTTTCTAAATCAAAGGACAGAGTTTCTATTTGTTCATCTTCTATTGCTTTGGTTAAGTCAAGGTTCATTTGTTGTCTTGTTCAGCTTGTTCCAAATGCAGTTCCAGTTTCCTAACAATATCCTCTTTTCATCATCTTTAATACTTTGTATCTTAATTTTAAAGGCATCATATTTATTGCAGGTGTATTTTTTGGGCTTTTTTTAGTCGCAAGTTAAAATCATTCAAAAAAACTCTTTTAAAATTTGAGAAACTGTCAGGATTTTCACTTTTTGGTTTGTAAATATTATACATTATTGATAAAGTAGTTCCTTCTTGCAAAAATTCTTGGTCCATTTTACGTGCTCTGCAGTAATGAGATACATACCGTGGAAAGTGGTTTATATGGTAAACTATAATATTTTTTCATTCGCTGACATTTTATTGTGCCCACCGCGGATTCCTCGCTTATCAAGTGTAGTCAAAGTTTTTACTTTTTGAAAAGCAGTGTTTATGCGTTTTGTTGATACTTGAAATGTATTGGTATACATATTTCTACAAACTACTTTTCTTACTTTACTTACTTATTTGTAAAGTATTTTCTTGAGAATTGTCGTGCTGCAGGATTTGTGGCCTGCAAATTTTTTCTCTGTGCAGGATGTTCTCTACCTTATGTTGATATAAATGTAGTTTGTAGATTATAATCAGCTTATTATAACTAATTATAATAAGTGCCAATAGTGATCGAAAAACTGTTGGAAGGGTTTGAACAGAAAATTTTTCATGGCACATGAACACATGTATCTGATAAAATCTCTTGGTTTTACTAGTTTTCCTCTTGATGAGTAATATTCCATATTGCTGTTAGTTTTTATTTTTCTTTCTTTTCTGTCTTGTGCAAATTTTCTCTTTCTTCCTTTTCTTGGACGACCCGGGAAAGATATTTCTGCATTCAAAGTAGACTAAACTGTAGGTAGGTACAAAATTTTTATCCTTAACAGAATCATCAGAATCTTCTTCATTGTCCACATCGTTAGTAATCGATATATCCTGTTCATTAAAATTACTGATTTCTAATTCTGTACATAGGCTACTGCTGGTACTTGGTCACTGCTTTTCCTCGCTGTTAATTGGCTGATAGAATTAGAAATAACGAAGTACTGGAGAGGGTTGGTAAAGAAACAGAACCAATCAAACCAGAAAACTGGAATACCTACTCCATGTGATGAGGGTACCAAAATATGAAATTTTGACACTCATAGGGAAATATTCAAGGAAGAAGATCTGTTGGCCGAAGGCAGAACTCATGGTTGAATAATGTACGTGATGCGTATCAATGCAGATCGATTGATTTGTTTAGAGCAGCAAGTTCAAAAATAAAAATAGCCATTATGATTGCCAACCTCCATAGGGAGACGGCACTCTCTAAGAAGAAGAAGAAGGATTGATGAAGCAGTTTGTCAAAGCTTAAACAAGGTGACTGATTTAAATATCTGTGCGACAAATTTGCGACAGGATGAATCTGAAGCATGGAGTTTTTCGTAGAAGTTATATACGGTTTCATTGGAAACAAAGTCTCCAAACAATAAAGAAATTGTAGCCAACATGGTCGAAAATTCTAAAAAAACTGGGATGCAATATGAGCGTCAAACTTCATTTTCTGAATTTCCATGTTGACTATTTTTCCGAAAATCTTGAAGCTGTCAGCGAGGAGCAGAGAGAGAGGTTCCATCAAGATATAAAGGAGATAGAGAGACGTTACCAAGGAAGATGGGATATAACAATGATGGCTGATTACTGAAGAAGACTCAATCACAAAAATCCATAAAAAGAAGACCACACAAAGTAGTTTTCATGTCAAAAGAGGACGGTTTTATTAAAAAAAAAAAACAAATATTGTCTAACTTAGGTTATACTGAACTCTTTTTTTTAAGAACAACTCAATTTTGCAGTGTAATTTTGTATTAAATATAGTTTCAATAAATATTTTCTCAGTATTTTTGAATACACTTTTCTTGAAAACCTGACGTGCTGGAAAAAAACTGAGTATTTACAAGTTCGTGCTCAGCACATCCCATTTACTATAGGACACTTATTAAAACACTTTTTCATGAAAAAAAAAATGTAGTTTAATAAAATGATTCGGTAATTTTTTCTGGGCATTAGTAGTGATTGTATCGTTCTTTTTCATTGTACATATTTGCCCCTTATAGTTAGGAGACATTTTTTAATAGTTCTCTTTTTGTTTCAGCTTCATACAACAGAATTTAATACAAATTGTGCTCTGCATGAGCTTTACACATATGCTATGAAGTACAACGAGCAATTAACAGTTACCTTAGAGGAGGACGAGTTCTCTCAAAAGCAACGACTGGCCTACAAATTAGAGCAAGTTCACAACATAATGGCGGAATCGCAGCCGTGATACTGGCCTGACCTGACGTGCCCCCCCACTGCTCCTCCTTTATCACCCGTTTTCCCTTCGGCACCTCAGGAACTGGCCTGCTGATAAAAGTTTTATGCCAAATATACATATCCATTATCAAACAATTTCTGTGTGTTATGGATTGCTGTTGTGCAATTATTGTTCAGTGTATTGTGGAGCAGTTCTCACTCAGTGACTTCAAGTGCCTCTGGTAGATTGAGTGCGGTTCTCGCTCCTAAAATATGTACTATATTTTTATGATAACACTAGAATAATGCTTTACCGTGCTGAATATCAGCGTTTTAGTCTAGGCCCTTTTTGAGGAAACCTTGGGCCAACCTAACATCTTTTTGTACAGTCATTTTAATACGAATATCATTTCGGTAAATTGATGTTTCTGCGTAATAAAGTGTTGTATATATTTGTATAATTGTGCATAAACAGAAGTGTTATGTGACATTTATCAAAAAATGTTTTCTAATGCAAAACTTGGGAAAAATCAAGTATTATTCTTAGATATGTATAGGTAAACTCTTTAAAAATTAATTGACCAGATCCTTTATTGATTATTTAGTACTATACTTTTTTAATTATTTCAAAAATGGAATCCTGCTTGTAAAGACTGACAAGAAAAACGGGTATTTATTTAATTTTGAATGTTCTACATATCTCCCACTTTTTCGTTGTTTCTTATACACAAACATGTCCTGTTTATCACATAAATCAAGGCACATAGTGCAATGGGCTCAAGACTAATACAATGCAAGCTATATTAAAAAAGTTTACGCCCAAATAAGATGATGTTGTCAAATACAATTATAAAATTATATTGTAGTGATTCAATAATCGTTGGGTGAAGCGAATGGAGACTAAGAGCAAACAAGAGAAGTAGGGGCAGAGATCAAACCAGATGGACTGATGACATCAAGCGAATGGATGCAAAAAACAACAAACAAAAATGAATGGACACGTCTAAGAGAGGCTTACATTTGACAATGGATGGAATAGCTGTTGATGATGATTGTAGTAATTACATTGATACGAAACTAATTATACCCTATCGCGATTCAACTTTAAGCTTAGTTTTTCTGAAATGGTGTCAGTATATTTAAGATGCGTTCGTGAGACGACTTCACACACAGTTTACTCGATTGAATAAAATAAATGTTACAAAAGACTCTTGTCTTGTTGTAAGTAATGATATCGTGATCAAGTAAATAAACTTTTTATTGTTATTTCTATTCTGGGTCTGGATCCCAGTTTTGTAGTATTCCCACTCCATTTGTGCCATGTTTTGATAATAATACAACGTGCTGATATTTATGCAGGTACACATACACTCCCAAAATAGATATATTTGATCTATTCTTTTTCTGTCCAGTTTTCCAGCTTCAAATAATATTCGATAATTCCAAGTTGGCTTAGATTCTTAGCGTTCTCTTTTTGCCATTTAATATTTTGTTTACTCGTTTCTATGAAAAGTGGTCCTCACAGGTTTGGCCTGCCGTGAGTATTTCATTTCCTGAGTACAATATACAATCTACTATCCTGCACATGGGAAGGTGTCCGATGAGGAACTAATACCGCATAAGTTTATTCCATATCAGGTCTACTAAATTCTGTTTTTTATAAGATTTGATTACATATTTATGAGCGAGAGACTTGTATAGATACGATATAAATCACGTTTAGGTGATCTATTTCCTAGATGATATTTTAAGAAACTGATTTGCCCTATACAAACTTTTTTGGAACAATATCAAGAAAAATATTTGGACAGTTTTCATAGATGGATTACTTCATTTTAAAACATTTTATGAAATGTTTTAAGTCACATCATTCGCCTACGTATTTGTCTTTGTTTGGCAATTTTTACGCAATCTATTTTATTTAGTGATAATTTCATCAATTCTGCAGTTTGGTAGATATGTATAACATTATTTATTTGACCATTATATTAAAGTATAATTTTTGCAATTGGATTTCAAGATTGATATGTTTTATTGTGATATAATCAATTATTTTACTCTATTTCAGAACTTAAATTTTTCTGTATGATATATATTGAATTTTGTGACATTGTGCGAGGTTTTACGGTAAAACTGAGGTTTGTAAATTTTATCATTATTCAATAATCAGGAAACATCATAGGCTATGTTGATGAAATAGACAGATAAAAAGAGACAAAATAAATACTATTTGTAAAAACTAGTAATGGAGGTAGTAAAATAAAGATTTTTTAGAATTTAATAAAAATACATGAATTCTAGTCAAACTCTAAAAAGTAAGTAAAGCCTGTAAATGATTTACAGTATTGAGCATATTCATTTGAAAAAAAAACAAACGTTTAAGTGAATTATAAATACTTTTACTTTCTAAATTGGAAAAAGACAATTTTTAAATATTAAACAAAAAAAATATTGTGTATATTTTTTTGACACTTTTAGTTATTTTTCACCAAAACAGAGGGCGTTTTCCAAAAGATGCATTTTAATTTGGGAGACACTTTTCGGACTTCCTGTTACAATTTTATTTTAAATTTAAACGTGATTCAATTCGTGAGACTTTGAGAAAATTAATAAACCTTTAAAAAAACCTTTAAAAGTTCGAAAAAATGACTGTTTTGGGGGTGAATTTACCCCTGCACTAAAAAAGGTGGGGTGGTTTTTTTACTGTTAGAGGTTTATTTAGTAGTCGTATGAAGTATCAAAAACAATTTGGTTTACTGAGATTGGTACAGTAGATTTTGGGAAAAACGTTTCCTAACTTTGAAAAATGTGATTTCGAGATCGTTTAAAATATTGTTACTCTAATTTAATAAGATAAATAGCCATGTTTATTTTTTACCTCTAACTAGCGCTTTCTGGTGCATATTTGGGTGCTCTCACTGTCCAGTAAAAGCTGTAAATGATCCGTCAAAGCTTTTTTCTTTTCATAACTCTGCCCTTCTTTTGATGTCTGGTTGCTATTTCTCCAAATCTGTCTGGTTTTATTTTTATTTCCAATTTTGACAAGGAACTTGACTAATTAATAATTGCTTTCTTAGTTAACAGATTTCCTTAAAATTTTCTTCATATTATGCTTATTTCAATGACATAAAAAGGCACTTTTTCCGATTTTCAAAACAATAATTTTCGATAAATTTCAATAATATAAAACACGTGCTTGTTTTTACAAGTTTTAGAAATCAATTGTCGAGTTGCTGGTACACAGATCAAGCGGGGCGCACAGTAGCTGTATGTAGCTGTATTTACTGTTATAAATACAGCTATAATTTCGATTCTTGAATTTCCTAATAATATTTGAGGACAATACTTCTATGATACTAAGGAATGTTTTTACGTAAAAAAATCGATTTTTTTTTTATTTAGAAAGTAAGAGTCCTCTTCAGCGAAAATTATACAAATTCTAAAGAACAGAAAAATTATAGAACGAATATTATTGATTCTGGAGATAAAGAGATGGTAGAAGCAGAAAACATAATACAATATGAAGACACAGATTGTGTTGGTTTGGACATGCATTAAAATAATTATTAAGTAAACCCTCAGTTCAAGGAGAAGTATCAAACATGTGACATTAAAAAGTGGCATAAAAAGTATTTAAGTAAAAAGCTACTGGTATAAGTATAAAAATTTAAAAAATCTCGAAATGAGGAATACATATTACGCATATTTGTAAGATGAAGTAATTTTAAAAGAAAGAAATTTACTTATTCCATCTTATGAAAAGATGATACAGTTATGTCTGACAGAAAAATTTAAGTACTGCATATAATTTTAATAAAAATACGAATTTAATACTCGGACAGGCAGCTTTTTACTACTTCTGTCTTATTTATACTACCTTTTACATTTTAAAATTTTAGATCTAACTGAAAAAATTTTAGCTAGAGCATTACCTATACACTAATCTGATCAAAATTTCCCATTCTTTGCAAATAACCCTAAAAAGGTTACCGTAAGATCTGCGTGTTGCTAATATGTGTCTTATCTTTAAGATTACCGATGTTTTCATTAAATGTTCTTTTACTTAATAATTTGGCGGAAAGGGACAAAATGACATGACTAAATAAGTCGAAAAATATTTTTCAACTTCGTGAACTAGATTTTTTGATGATTTAGTTTAGTCTCCTCTTCCAGTTGAATTGAAAAATGTATTTATTATCCCCAGGAAAATACGAAGTATATTTGAACTCTGTAAAATAGGGACAAAATACGTGCAAATCAAGAATATATGAGAGACACATTTGACTCTGGTTTCAAAGAAATAGACATGGCCAAAAATTGAATTTTTGCATATGTCAAAATAAAACTTTTCTTGAAAGAATAGCAGATAGCCAACTTTTGAAGCACTTTATTTTTCTTTTTCTTATTTTTGTTTTTCCTGAAACAGCAGTACTGATATTGAAGTACTCTTTTTAATCATTTCAATTCAATTTTAGTTTTTCTTTTTCTGTATATAATTTTTTTGTGTAAATTATTTTCAGTTTCTGTGATTGCTTCATTTCTTTTTATTTTTTCTAACATAAAACTAGTTCAAACAAAATATGAAGCAGTCATAACGATTAAAAATGATATACAGAGTGTTTCAAAAAGGTATGTCATAATTTCAATCACGCATTCCGGGGACAAAAATAAATTAATTGAGTTCAACTTACCTTAGTACAGCTCTTTAAAGTTACAAAATAAAAATTGTTTTTTTGCATTATCTCCTAAACTACTTGACATTTTGTAATAGAAATGGACACGTTACTTTCTTGTTCTAAAAGCATTTTTCATAAAAAAGAAACAATAAAATCTGAGTACACAGAAAAGTTTTAAGGGGGGTGTGCAGCCCTAAACCCCCCAACTTTTGAGTACGTTCAAATCAAATGAATTTTGTGGCATCATTAGTTTAACACATTAGTTTTAAATTTTTTTTGCCTCTTATCACTTTTTTCAAAAAACAGTTTTTATTGAGTTACGGCCCTTTTCATTAGCCTTTAAAAAATTACGTGCAACTAAATAAATGGCTTACATAAATTAACAAGTACAAAAAATGTCTATAACCTCTATAAATATGATATTACAATAAATGTTCAAAATGACACCCATTTTCTTCAATACACATTCGGTATCGTTTTAAT